CATTTTATTTCCTGTTTTTGTGTTATTTTTCTGTTAATAAAAGCCTCTCCGAGACCTGACGCCACACCCACTGTGTCTGTCGTTTGCTCCTCCCGCCACAATATATACTGTGTATGTATATATATATATATGGATTATTGCCTTTGTTTTGTGTATGAATATGTGTACAAAATGCTACAATACTACTTATAGGATAAAAATAGCACCATACTGGACATACTACTCTATTTTTACTGCTAGTTTTTTCATTTACTCCATTTGTCTCCATTGTCCTACCACATGGTGTCAAGCACATAGAACTGTTGTAAAATAAGCTGCAATTGGTTTTAAAATGACAAACTGCCTTCTGTCTGAAATATTATTATTGTTTAATCAAATTATTTTTAATCCAAAGTGAATGATCTAAGAGCCTGTCTTTTGCAACATTATTACGTTATGGATTTCTCACTCTCCTCACACAGGACCATAATAAGGGGTTTAAGGTGAGGCTGTGTTTCATAGTGGGTTCAGAGTCTGTGTGTGTGTGTTTTTATTTCAAATAATGCCCTGTCAATCTCAGTCCTTCAAAACACTCCACCGGCTCCTAGAGAGGCGTGAGGTACAACAGCTGCCAGGAGGCATATGTCGCTCCACTCATACACATGCATGTAAAGACAAACAAACACACACTCAAACCTGCTCAAGACTGAAAAGAAAGTTTTGGCATGCACACAGTTTCTGTGCATGCTATGGTCATATCTGTGGTATGTGCTGCTGCTTTAGTCCCAGAAGCATATGGTGAGTGTTTAATAGTGCTAGTTAACTTCTGGGCAAACACTCTGTGTGTTGGATTGAAGGCTCTGTCTCCTGCCATTTAAATTGACCTGTAGTGGTGGTGTAGTCCTCAGGCTGGAATTACAGACAGCACTGGTTTTCTAAAGGCTAACTGTCCTTCTGTTATAGTTCTAACATTTGACATGCATTGTGTTCTTTGAAAGAAAGGTCCTACAAGTATTCTGCATCTTTTGGAGGGGTAAACACTCCCTAAAGCGATAGTTCACCCAAAAGCAAAGCTCTGTCATCATTTACTTACCCACATGCCATTTAAAACCTGTGTGACTCTCTTTCTTGTTTTTTTGTTTGTATTTTGTTTTTTTGGACTTTTATGATTTTGATTAGGATTCAGAGAAAAAAAGAAGGACATATCAAATAGAAATTCAGAAATTCACATTTCACTGAAATATTTTACTTTGGTAATATAGTTTGTAAAAAACAATTTTTTTTCTCTAAAGGATCCCAGTGTGTATCAAATCACCACCGCTTGTTGGACTTCATCACTTAATCTCAGAGCAGTACACAATAACAAGCATTTAGTTTGTAATGTGTAATGTTTGATAGCCTTTCTTAGAAGTTTAGAAGTGACTGTGTTGTTCAACGTTCGGTGTCAAGAGTTCCTGTGAGGACCTGGTTTTAAACTGAAAGTAGGGTAATGGCTTCTGGGGAGACACCATGAGTGCATTGTGAAAGGTAGGACAGCAGTAAGAGAGATGGTTTATGGTCACGAGTAAAAGGACATGTGAGCCTTGTTATCCACAAACACAGAGCCCATATTGTTCTTTTCAGTATGTGGAATGGGAAAGTTTGTGTACGTGTGTGTCTGTGTGTACTCACAGATATTTGCTGTGCCCTTGGGGATGGGGAGATAGGATCCTGCACTCCAAGCTCTGGCCTGATAATTCCTCTTACAGCGGCCACAGTCAGGCCCCGTGGTGTTGTGCTCACACTCGCAAGTCAGTCTCTCTTTGTCATAGATGCAGCTGTTGGCGTGAAGGTTGCACTTGCACCTGTCACGGTGAAAGAAAAAAAAAGAGAAATAAGAAATAAAACATATGCCCTTGTGGATTTTCAATCGTGGAGTTCAATTACACCCGTGCGGGAGAAAACATTGGAACCAGCACTTAGAGACCAGAGTGACCTTGTAAATCATTTGCATTTCAAGTAAACGTGCATCTGCATGTGGAGGTATTCTGAAGCTTCCAGAAAGTGACTTCAAAACCTTGCACATGGTGTCAAGGATTTTGCAAAATCCACATCATTATTTTTCTGTTTTTTTCTTTCCTCTCGAAAGATAGGTTATTTATAATTATCCCACTGGAAAATAAATAATTACATACAGGTCGCACCTTCAATGAGAGAAAGAAAACAGTTAAATAATATAAAAAAATTAAGTGCTGAATATTTGGCATATATGTTGCAGACTTTGATTATTTACAGAATTTTTGCTATATATATTCTATTTAATATCAATAAATCCTGAAGCACTTGTGAATGTTTTTAATCCTCAGAGGCAGTCATGTTTTAAATGTTTTGGTAATACATTCAGTATGGCCACTAAGGACAAACCCCATGCAAACATTTGTCTCACATACACACTATGCAGGGAGGTTTGCTCCCCCGTTTCTTCTCTAAGCACGGAAATTGATTTTGTATGCAGGAAGGCAAAAGATGGATATTTCTGTGGCACACATGCAGTACTGACAAAAAAAGAAATGTGATGCAGTTATGTGAAACTGTTGTACAGCTAGAATAGAGTAGCTTAACATGTTTATATGTGTGTCTGTTTTTCAGTTCAACTGTGATTCTTGCTCCTAATTTAAAAATAAATTGACTGTCAGTTGCACAACTATTTTTTGAACTCATTTACTGAATAACACAATTGTCTTTAACTTCATCTGTATCTGTATCTTTGACTACTATAAATCAGTGGTTCTCCACCTTGTTTCCCCAACATGATTATGTATGTGATTAAGTGTGACTCCAACTAATCACTTTTTGTGGAGTAAGGGAATACAAAAATAATAATAAAAATGGAAATAGAAAACAGAATTTATACATATAAATGAAGGATGACAATGAATACTTGGCCCAATTGCCTCTAATGTAAATGTATTACTATAAATATTTTACATTATTATTATAGCTGAAATAATACCTTGTGGTAATAAACATCAAGTCACATATGTCGTCTATAGAAAAAAACAAACTGAATTCCTTTAAAGTTGCACCGCATCATTCTAACAGATTAAAGTAACACTTTAAAAAAATCAAAAGCTGATCAGTCGCTAGTCTTTGATCTAACTTTTTCCAGACTGAGGCTCCTCACGGATTACGAGCATAACCAGGCTCTTGATGTCTGCCGTCTCTCTTTCTGTGTGGGCACAAAGGAGCATTATTAAAACCATTAAAACCGGTGTGTCCGAAGAGATGCGCGTGCAGGGGCTGATAAATGTGATGCGCCGAATGACGTTTGGAAGTGACAAATGACTGCTCAGTCCCCGCAAGTATACACTAGGGCTGTGTATCACCAGCAAAGTCACGATACGATACGTATCACGATACAGAGGCCACGATACGATACGTATCACGATACAGGACTGCACTGAATTTCACCTCAGCAGAATTTAGAAAAACAGCTGTTTATTAAACACTGCATACTACAGTGCCATTTCTAACTATTGGCAGAGCAAGCAGTTGACCTCTGCATTATGAAGGACCTCCATAACTGTACCACAGTACAATATAGGTAACTGCATATGTTTCATGTTTACATTGTGCACTCCCAACCAGGTACAATATTCTGATTGTTTGCATCTTGTTTTTAAGCCCATAAATAATAATGTACTCGTTCTAATAAATTTATATTGTAATGTACTCATTCTAATATATTTTAAAAAATCATTACATTGCTGGTAGGTTATCATTGCACAAATTAACACAAT